GTTTTTGAAGACAGACAATGAGAGACAGTAACGAAAAGTATTGTGTTCACGTCACTCTGGAATTCCAATTATGAATTATATTACGTAGAATCATAAAAGTATGGAATATTAATTTATTATTATTGATTTTTTAATAGGATTGTTTGAATAAGAATAAGTAAGAGAAATATTTCTTTTTTTAATATTATGATTATATATAAAGTCTATTCCGTCTCACAAAATTCAAAACTGAAAACATAGTAAATTGTAAAATAGCAATAACAAGAACTTCCGAGTAAAAGACATAAATTTACTACTAACAAACCAAAAGGCGCCGAGTTGTATGTACAATACAATAGTTGAATGTTGTTTCAAACTTGTAAATCTTATACACCGGCATGCTTATTAAACGTGAAAGTCTACAGAACTACCAGATTGAAGACACCAGTAATACAAATATTATAATATTAATTTAAAAGATAAAGCTTTTTTATATTACAATGAATTATAAACAGTTGTTCAAATATAAAACTAAAATATAAAAGCAATGTCGGTCATTCTCAATTTAGCTCGTTGACTTTTATTATCATGATCATCAATTCCAGGTTACTCCTAACCGATTAGTGTAAGGGTTATAATTGCATACTGAATGTTTATTGACTACGCGATAATTGAGTCTCATTAGTACATTCTACATAGTTTTAGGATAAGACGTCTTTTTCACGACTTCTCATAGTAATATTTGTTCTAAATACATGTAAAAAACCTAGTCTCACTGTAGGAATGTTAGCTATACTTTCATATCTTTTATTCTTAAATTAAAACTGAGTAGTCATGAAGGGAAATGTGTTTGGCTCGGCAACAAAAAACAATACGGCAATGACTGTAGCTCTCATCAATTGATCGTGTTGAACTTGCATATACTTGTACATATTATTACGAATATTCCAAGGTATTCGTCTGTTTTGATGAATGATGTAAATAAACATACATACATACTATATTGGGCTATCGGTATGTTTAGTTTTTTATTTATTTCATAGTCTGATTTACAATTGTATCATTGGACATAATATGTATTATTGTTTTTTTTTTATTTTTAAATAAGATTATTTGTAAAATAAATTAAATTTACATATATATCACAAACTATCTATTTTTTACGCGATTTGCCTAGGATGGATAAGTTCCGGTTGTATAGTGGTTTTATGAAACCACATCTTGTATTATTAAAATGTATATTTAACATTTTATATCAATCGGTAACAGTGACAACATATAAACAAATAATATAACTCGTGTTAGAAATATGTTTATGCAGTACTTACGATATTACTTACGATATTTATCACTCCACGACTTGTAATAGAATTCTGTTTAGAATATTCAATGGTAACACATTTAGGTGAGGATAAGTTACAATATCTTACATAGGGCGCTAGTTTACTATTATAAGAATTCACGATTTATATCAGAATATATTTAAATTAATATATATAATAATTATTAACATTAGATAATATAATTTGAACATCATAAAGGGTTGAATATTCTATTACTCAAATAGTGCGTTGACCACCTATGACCTAATTTCAACCTATCAATTGGTGAAATGACAGTCAATAACTATCTATAATTTTAGAATTACCTATAAATTTCTCTATAAAAGGAACATGTGGAATTAAACATTTTATCTCTCAAAGGTTAAAACAAAATATCTTATTCACTTTGTCATATAATTATCAAAATTATTATTGCTTATACAATAACCATCATCGGCCTATAGGAACCCATTGCTGAACAAATGCTTCTTCTCACACGGAGACATTTGGAGCATAGAACAATATTTATATAATTAACAAAATTAATTACTAAATAACTAAGTGTTCCAAAGAATATGCTTCAACAAAGTTTCAGTCTTAATTTAGTAAAGAATCTATTTCGAAACTTTTTTAAGACTAACAATCTAAATAAAAAGAAATGAATAATATAAATTAGTTCATAAAACAATTTATCACTTCAGACTTTCTTTTTTTTTTGTTAGAATCCAAAAAAAACTAGATCAGAATGTCTGTAAAATTACTGTTTTATAACTTTATTGTAACATTAATTTTATAACTTTCTTTATTAATTACTCAGTTTTTTTTAAATTGTAATTTATATTAAGAAAAAAATCTTCAAAGTATATGAAATAGTCCTCTCTAAATTTCGTACCAGTTATAATCTATTTAAGAGACATTTATTGATTTCTTATGCTCTATTTATTTCTAATACTATGATGTTCATAGTAATTTTACTGCCCTCAGCAACTCGAGAACCCCGTAGTGCTAGGAGCAGGGTGACTGGTGAATTACTATCAATATTTAAGGAGAATACTCGGTACATGATTCTCATTCGAATTATGTAAAAAAAATAGGTACTTAATTTTTGACCAAATTTCCGTATAAATAAATAAAGTGTGGACACGTTCCAAGTGTGGACGCGTGCGGCGGCGTGCTGATACAACACCACGCCGCCGCACGCGTGTGTATACCTAATCTGTAGGGCGTTCACACGATGCGTAATTAATTACATAACTTTTGGTTAACTTTACTTAGAAGTTTATTAATATTTATGTTATATTAGTTTTTATTTTGTCATAAATGATCGACAAATATCACGTCCTCAAGTATCGATAGTAATTCACCAGTCACCCTGTATATAGTCCCAGTACTTAAAGGTGGGTATAATGTTTATCAAGAAACCTGTAAACTTTCAAAATGTCCTTCCAAATCTTCATTTTTATTGATAGTGCTAGTCGATTTATCATAATACTTTTTTTATCATCATCATCAACAATCATAAGCAGAATAATTGTACTCGACTCTATAGAAAAAAATTAAGTTGAAATCATTTTTACCAGATATCATGATGTAGAATTACGTAACAAATAAAGAAATTTGGAATGAGATTTGAGAAATTTCTTCGTATTTATTTGTTCAATTATACACATTCTATATTGAAAAATTTTAAGTATCGCTGCCCAGAATAGTACACTGACAAATGATTTGAAAACTTATATTGATTTTCATCCCTGATTTGAGATTAAACTTCCGATATCAACTCAACAGTATATCGATTCATTTCTTTATTATTTCGGGCCCTTGACTTATATTAGTCATCTTCATAAAAGTTAACAATCCGTTACATTATTTCATTACGTATCTTTTATTTTCTCAATTGTTTCAAGTCTGTTACAACCTTTCTTAATTTCATACATTTGATCTCCTCATAGGAAGAAGCACATTTACATTTTCTTGATAAATAATTCTTTATTTTCTATAAACTATTGCTGTCACGTATGTAAATTATTCGTGTATATATGTAGTTAGAGAACTCTTAAATCTCGTATATTTTTATATTTTTTTGATACTAAACTATTATAATCCTGATGTTGCTTAACTTTTAAATCAGATTAACTAGATTATATACTTCAATATATGCATATAATATTAATAAAAAGTATTTTAATCCTCAAATGTATAATCTTATTTTCAATTTTTATTTCATAGAATATGCAGGAATAAAATCTACTTGACGTCGGAGGTGAAACATTGAAATAAAGAATATCCATTGTTATAACTATTGCAGAGAATCACCACATCTCCGTTTCTAACACCAATAAAGTACAACACAAAACAGCAATTTCTCTCCGGATCACTATTTTGAATAGAAACAAGTTTTCTACTTTTCCTATACATATTTTAATCTAGCGGGATTTTTTTCTTTTCATACAATAAGATGGGGTGCTCCACAATAGTCATATAAAAAATAATACCTCCTATAATAATTCTCAATACGCATTTTAACATCGGATATCAATTGTTCCTCGATTTAACCAAAGCCTATTATAGTAATGAATGTAATAGAATCTTGATAGTTATAATAATTAACATGTTATTACAATATTTTTTTATACAATACAGAATTTATTATACAATGAATTTCTTTAATATATTATATACAACTAAAGCATAGGTTAATTGAAAAATATTTTAAAACTGACAATCGTAATAAACGTGTATTAATTGTGAGAATTTATTTGGAATTAATTTAGTATTTAGCTAATAAAATATATATTTTTTTTAAATCTTGAATAGCTATAATTAAAGACGATTAGGTGTTTTTACCTTGAAATCTACACGTCCTCAAATAGAGAAGGCGGTAAAACGGTAATGATTTCCTTAAAAAAATCTACGACACAACATATAAGCGGCCGGTATACGATGCGGTAAAAATAGCAGCATGATCAATTACTCGCTTGACTTGCAAATAATATTTTAAATGACGCGTGGTACGGGATTTTACTTCTTATAAACTGTCGACAAACAACATATAGTTTAGTAAACTGAATACAATAACGACGTAATAATTTAAAAAAATGTTAGGTTCGGACTTTAAAATAAAAAAATCGACGAAAAATAAATTAAATTTCGGATTGAGGGACAAAGCGGGAATACATGGTCTTTGCGATTTCATCGACCAAAAAGTGTTGAAATTTTGGTTTCAAACCAAGATGTTAGTCATATACTAAATACCTACCTATAGTACCTACCTTTAGTCATATACTAAGTACCTACTGTATGATAAGGATAAAATATCTGCTATCTCGACAATGTTGCACATCAAACAAACATAATTATCTGGAGTATTGTTTTGTATTCAATACTATTGAGTCCTAGCAGATAGAAAATACTTTTCATCATCATCATCCCTTTTTTATTCGTCATTTGAATCCGTTATATTTATTAAAAGCAATTAAATAAATATTCTTAAATTACATCAACTAATGACAGTGAAATTCCCGTCATTTTAAACTCATTACAATAAAAGAAATCGATTAATTTATATAAAATCAACTAAAAAACCGCTTCATAATGTCACTGAGTCACTCACTGACCTTACGTCACTGATCTCATTGTAGTGCTTCTCAGTCAGTTATCAGTGTACAAAATACGTTATAGTTAGTCGGACTTGTGGATATGAAGTGTGTTTTGATATTGTTTTGTTATTTCTCCTATATAAATGCGTGGGGTCGCGGGGATTTAGAAAAGTATGGTCCCTTCCAATTAGCACTGCATTCGAAATTAATTAAATGTAAGTTATTTAAAACCTATAAATCCTTTTATGCTACCTGGGTTCTATGTGAATCATACTGATAATTCAATAAAAATTACAAATAAAAAATAGACAAAACCAGTTTAAGAAGACATAAATGTTAGAACTTCTGTAAATTAATGTATTGATTACCGTTACTTTAATGACACTAACCTCAAACGGTACTCGTAACACAAGATAAATAAAAATACTTCTTATATATTTATGTTCAAATAATAACTAATTCATTTCTGATGGATTATATTAAATGAAAAAAGTATGTTTATCCAGTTTATTTGTTTTGATTGTTAGATAGTAAAATTAAACTGTTTTCGAACTGTCGTTTAACTGTAATTATAAGTAATCTTGGAAACAAAAAAAAGTTTTTAAAGTACAAACGAATACTTTTCCCTTTTCCAATCATTTTCCGTAGCCCGAGGCGTTATTTTGAAATAAAAACTTTTATCCCTTATTTGAAGCCATAGGGAAGGAGTTGTTACTTATTATTTGGAACTTTATCTTTGTACCAAATTTAACTTTCAAAGATGTAATTTTTATACAACATCCACCCTCTTCCTCAAGATACTGGCATTTGAAGGCAGTTATTTATGTCTATACATGTACATAAGCCAATTTAAAAGAATAATGTTATAAGAAACATATGTATATACTAGTTTATTCCTATACCAGTAAATAAAAACTCACTTATAACCCACTACATAGATAGTAATAGCATTATAGAACGTAATACTAATTCCAATATATTTAGAGTTTTCATACAATTAATAAAATCTTTTACTGATGGTTTTGTGAATAATAAAATGTTAGTTGTGAATAATAAAATGTTAGCTGCTATGGTTGTATTGTAACCGTTTGAATGATATCAATGGTAGGTACATCATCTATTCACTTAATACGTCAATGCACTATGTCGTTGTTACATATGTACTGAAACCATATAAACATTATTTTAAAAGACTTTTTCCTTAAAACACATGCCTTACTTTGACTATTAATAAGAATGTACGACTATTCGTTTGCTATTGCTTTATTTATGAATTACCGAACTGGCTTTTAAGCAATGCCATATAAAAATATGATGATCTAGTCTAAAACAGACATAAACTTGGATTTGATTATAACATCCTTGTGAAGCAAAACTGCGCGGACCATAAATCGTTGTGAAATATTACAATATTATGTTTATTTCAAACATAAATGTATTACAAAGAAAAATAATAAAATATTTACAGATATATTTTTCTCTGTTACAGGCGATCACGATAGGAATCTGAATTTAGACGTCAGCGGCATAGACGTATATTTCTATGATTTTCCAAGAAACGACGTGGAAACTTTTACAATTGACAACGCTGCGAGAGGAATCCTCGACATAAAGGAACTCGATAAAACGAGGAAATTCATTATATTCGTTGCTGGATATAAATCCAATATCAATAAAAGAACCGAAGAAAGAGTTAGGGATACCTTTAGAAATTATCCAAACAGCTACTTGATTATCCTTGACCATTCAGAATATACGAACGATAAGCAAGGAAATATCAAAAGCTATGAAAGATCAGTTAAATATGTTTACTATATTGGGAAGGCATTAGCTCATATGTTAGTACGCTTAGAGGAAGGCGGCATATCTCCCAAAAATATGCATTGCATCGGTCATAGTTTGGGTTCCCAGATTTTAGGCAATACTGGAGAAATCTTTTATAATATAACTGGAAAGAAGATTGCTAGGATAACGGCGTTGGACCCAGCCGGGCCTTGTTTTTCTAATAGCCTAATACAAGAACAAGTGAGATCTGGCGTAGCAGATTATGTTGAAGTATATCATTGTAATGCAGGGGGTTTAGGGACAACTAGTGTTCTAGGAGATATAGATTTCTTTGTAAACAAAAAAGGCCAAAGCCAACCGAAATGCGGAACACCACTAATACCAGGTGTATTTGACTCTTCGAAAGCAGCGAAATGTAATCACAGAGCCTGCATCGATCTTTGGACTGCAACGGTTGCTAATCCGAATTGGTATTTGGCCTGGAAATGTGATTCGTATAAGATGTTCAAGAATGGCGAGTGTGCTGGTAATGATGTCACTATCGCTGGGTTCTGGAATCCTGGTAACGCGACAGGGGTTTACTACTTCAGAACTGATGGCTATGAATACTAAGATTTGAGGAAAAAATATTCAATAAATAATGTTCTATTTTCCTATTTATTTATTGCTTCTTTATAATCAAATATTTGGTTAACCACATTTCACTTCACAACGATAAGATAAAATTATACGTTACATTATCATCATGAACAATTTTCTTGATATGTTAGCGATATAGGAGAATAAAAATGATAAAATTGTCTAACATAGATCTTTTATTAATAGAAGAGACATGTGACTAATCAAAAGAAAATGTCAGCTACTTTTATGGATTTTTTTGAAACCACTTTATTGTGGATTAATAAAACTAGCACTGTTGTATATTAAATTAATAAAAATTGGAAAAACAAATCTCATTGCACTGTTAAAGGCATATCTTAATAAAAAAATCTTTATAATTGAGTGACCAGATACCCAGATACCCATATAACAAAACAAGGCTAATTGATATTACAAACACACTTGAACACCAACGCCAGGGACTTTACCCAGACCAAGCCGTAAAACGTTTAATATCTTCTAGGGACTTAACATTTTCTGAATCATTTAACGACACGGCAAAGTAAGCACGTGAGTTATTGTAGATAAATATTTTTTACAAACCCAAACTTAAATACGTACACTGACAAGGAAAAAAGCGATATTTTTGATGAACATTTATTCAAAAGATATAAAATACTCTCCCATAATGGATATTGTGAATTGAGAAATCTCCTACTGTGATGTTTACAAAAATATTATCCATTAATACAAAACCTTGTATCTATGACAGCAAAAACATCCCCTCGATGAATTAGAGCGTAAGATTTATATATCCCTCGCCCTGCGGTAATAATAGAAGGTTTAACAGATAAATATATATACCACAAGTGAATAGACTGCGGCACTTTATCAGGGTTTAAGATTATGGCTTGAATTTTAATAAAACCAAGGCATCCAAGCCAAGTGCATTCTCTTTTATGTCACCGTCTTCACATATTCTCACCAACATTGTAGATCCACTTATTGCATATTTATCGGACATCTTATGAAAGCCGTAAAACTACATTTACAACTAAGTAATTTAATCGAAAAAGTTATTAATTCTACAATTCATTTAGTCTATTGTTCTATAAAAGCTATTAAAATCGAACAACAAACAAGCTATAGTATTGTTTTAACACAAATATTGGTTCAAAGTAAATTTAAAAATCTCCTGAAATAACTGTTGATAGAATATATAACTATCAATATTTTAAAATTCATAATACGATTTCTGTACTATCTGAAATTAACTGGTGAGTTATATAAATAAATTTGTTGCTTACCTTTCGCATTTAAAACAAATTGATAGTTTTTTTTTTATATATTTTATGATTCGGTTTAAAATAAAGTTTAATAACGTTTAACTTTTACCTTTACCTTTATTATTATTAAATTAAAAGCGTCTTTTTAATAACATGATAGAATTTCCATTATTCAATTAGCGGTATACCACAGAAGGTTCGTGGAACTCAAACTGGGAAAGCATAACGAAATCAGAAAAACGTTCTTCAAAGTAGGAATAGTAAACATCAATAATATAAATAGAGGAGTTGAATATAATTGTATGTAAATATATTTAAGGGTTGGACGTTCTGTTTCATTAACTTTCATAGTATATTAAATATGGTGTACAAAAAATCAGACAATTAAGAAAGATAAAATTTAATATCCATCAAGAACTTTATTTTATTTTCCTTTCCTCTTTGTTTCGCTTTTATTTATTACCAATGTTTTAATGGCACGGCTTATAATGAAAGAGGTTTTTTTAAAAGAAAATAGGTGTTTTTTTCTTAATTACCTTTTTAAATATTAATTTTTCTCTTCATTGTTTAAGGTTCTTTGAGCTTCAATTTCCTTGAATATTTCTGTACGAATTATACAAAAGGTCATATTATGTTTCATTAAAGAGAGTGACTTTCCTCAAAAAAAGTTAATTACCTGATCTTTATATAACCGTGCAGTAAAGAGTTCAAGATATATGAATATATTCTGTCAAAAGATGGCTTACCGCTTTCGGTTCGAAATTAAAGATTCAGAATAAAGGTAATAAAATCCACACATAACTTTATTTAACACATATACAAACCTTATAGTTCCCAAATCAAATTTTTCATTAACAGAAATCAAATACCTATGCATATCTGACCACAATGCAATAAAAATCCGCAAAACCGGACTTTATATTAAGGGATAAGCAGCTTGATAGAAAAATGGATTCACATTGATTGAGATTATCCCTTATAATGTACAATCTGTGTATTAAGGACAGCAATAAAACGGTTCAATAAACATGATGATAAACGCTTCTAGTATTACATTACGCCCCATCTGAACATGTCAACGGGGATTTGAGTTAAAGTGAAAAAATATATGTACTAGTACATAAATGATTAGAAAAGAGTTTTAAATAAATGGAGATTAAGTGTGTATGTGTGTATGTATCTTTTAAACTAATAATACGTATAATATTTCGAAAGTAAGTTTGGTAGATGACTTTAAAATTAAATAAATAAACAATGTAATTTTTTGCATAACAATCATTTTCAATGTTCATGTTAAAATAAAAGTTCATTAGAGTCTTTAAATTATACATCACATTTTATTCCTATGCCTGTAATTGCTTATACTATAAACGACTTACAAATATAATTATTATTAAATTAGACTAATATTTGTAAAACATTCAAGAAATCAACAAAAAAATATTTATAAAAAAAAACATTAGCTTTAATTTCTTCATAAAATAAAGTTGTAGTAAGTTCATTAAATGTTTTAAAATTTGCGTAATTTGTTACAATATCAATAAACACACATTTGAATAATCTAAAAACTAATAGAGGTTTGGAGAAATTAAAAATATATCAAAAACTCAAATGTACGGTCTTTCAACGGTCTTCAATTTAATAGAAGCAACGTTTCACTAAATATAATTATCTCGCTCGAACTCAGAAATCCAAGCTCAGAGACAAATTCAGTATAAGCGGGAATCAAGCCACGTTCTCTTTTAAGCTGCATTACGTGATCAAGCCGCTGCAGCTACAACAGATATTATATGTTTGCTGACGCCGTGCTTGGCACAGTCTGACGCGAAACAAAAAAACAATCATAATTTATATTACCCAAAGTGATCATATTATTTAGAATTATATATAAAAAACAAAATGGCATTTACTGAAACTTTGTGTCTCAATAAGAAAACGTAACATTTTAATTGGAGGACATATTAAAAATTAATTACGCTGCCTCTTCGTTGAATATATATGAAGAAACTCTTCAATTATATGCCGTTCAATAAATTCTATAAATGATTTCTCGTGGTTCCGCTGAAACTTAAAACTTAAACCAAAAAAAGAAACATGACCTTTGTAAAACACCGTCAGAAAGCTTCTTAGTTAGAGATTTGAGACGCGCGTGATAAAAATATCTATAACACTCGACACCACCACTGCTTACAACAAAAAGGAAAATTTGAAAACAAGCAAAACTTTTTCGTCTTAAATAAAATATTCGGGATTTTTCCGAAACCATTTCTTACTTCATGAATAAACTAAGTAAAATAAATAGTCTACTTATAAAAATAGACCCTTATCATATATATTTCAGTTTATTAGTAAGCTTCTGTATAGTAAATAGCATTTTCGAAAAAAACACACTGGTCTGCTATTAGAAGAAAGATATAAAAAATAATCCAATCTCAAAGAAAATTTGGGTCCACTCGAAGACTCTTCATCTGTACAACGAAACACTTCTATATGGTTCGAATAGATGGAAAGCAATAACAGAAATCCCATAAACCAAGACACAATTCACAACACAGCAATACGATAAACAATCGGCTCAGCTAAACAACACAGTCAACAGATATATATAGAATTCGGTAGCAGATTGTTCAAAGAGCCTCATACACTTAGACCTTGAGGAGATTTTGATTAAAGTGCAACAAAAGCTATTAATATGATTCAATAATAAAGATTTAACTTACACACATATAAACACGCGCGCGTGTGTGTGTGTGTGTGTGCGTGTGTGTATTACACGTACACGCACACACACAAAAGCTGAAGTTCTAATTCACATCCATGGAGTTAGAGGAATTTCAAAATATCGACATTTATTGCATTCCCATGCAAACGAAAGAGCCAAATTTTTAAACTCTAACAAAAAACTATTTGAAAACCAAATAGCACTTGTGCCATTCCGCGGGGGATTTGATCAATTTGACGCTCCAGTGTTTTTCTCATCACAACCCGAACAATATTTCACACTGAGAATGAATTAAATCTACCGTGAATCATTACAGGTCTCTATGGAGTTTTATGGGACATTTTCAATACAAACAAAACTGCTTCTTATTGTCTTAAGATTAGGGTCTCATATTCACAATTCAAACTATACTTTAACTATGTGGATATTCTGAAAACCCGTTTAAGTGCGGTAAAGGTGTTTTATGATTTACAACTCAGCTCATATACAGGGTACACTTGAAAAGCCGGAGGTTTGAGATATTTTATGTATGAAATCAGATATTTCTATAACAGATTATGCTAAGACAACTTGTAAAATATCAGTTCAACCACTTAATTACCGCGATAAACCACGTAATAGATTTATTTCAAAATAGAATTGTTTTTGAATTTTCACGATAAAGAAATAAATACACTTTAAAATTTTGAAACTACAATAAATTATTCTTATGTAAATTCTTTTAGAGTACATATTGTAATTTTTTATGATTATTCTAATTTTAGTACCTCTCTTCTCGTACTGCTTACCAAAATACTCGTTTTGACCTGTGTCTATCTTCACACTTGCAAGTCGTATTGACTTTCTACAAATTCCTATGTGTTGTGTGTATTGTGTAAACCACGACATCTTCCAAAAGGAAGGAAGTGTATTTGTAAGAGTTTCGTTTTGATTTCCTCATGATGTGTATTCGCCAAATAGACACAGAAATAAGTTTTCATTGTACCCATAATTACAAAAAGTAT